TGCCAGAGACTAAAACTAGATCCCTATCATTCACCATGCTCTAAACTAAAATCCAAGTGGATTAAAGATATAAATGTTAAAACAGAAATACTAAACTTTCTGGAAGATAAGTTAGGTAGAACTCCTGCATTGGTGTAGGAAAAGACTTTATTAATAAATCCTCAGTAGCATGGAAACTAGCACAAATAATCAACAACTGAGATCTCATCTTTTAAAAAAGCTTCTACAGTGCAAGAGAAACAATCAACAGAGCTAAGAGACAACCTACAATGTGGGAAAAATTTACCAGCTGTTCCTCAGACAAAGGTGTACTATGTAAAACATATAAAGAACTCAAAAAACTCAGACCACCAAATATAAAGACCCAGTTCAAAAATGGGCATCTGGAATGAACAGACATTTTTTAGACATAGAAGTAAAAGCACCTAATAAACATTTGAAAAAGTGTCCCACAACACTGGTCATTTGAGAGATGCAGATGAAAACAACACTGAGATTCCATCTCACCCCAGAAAGAAAGGCATCTGTCAAGAAATCAACCAATAGCAAATGCTGGCAGTGTTGTGGAGAGAAAGGAACACTTCCTCATTGTTTGAGGTATTGCAGACTGGTGCAACCACTGTGGAAATCAATATGGAGATAACTCAAACAACTAGGATTAGAAGTCTTATTTGGCCCAGCTATTCCTCTGTTGGGTATCTTCCCAAAGAATTAAAAGAATCATACCACAGTGATATATATTCACCCATGTTTATAGTGATGTAGTTTATAATAGCTAAAACATGGAAACAGACCAATTGCTCATCAACTGGAGACTTGGTGAAGAAGATGTGGCTTTTAATAAAATGGAGTACTACTCAGCCATAAAGAATGAGAAACTACAGACATTTATAGTTAAGTGGATACACAGCATTGAGGACACACTCAAGTGAAATTAATGGGACTCATGTGTAAATACCAAATAATTTCTCTGGTATGAAAAACTAAAGTTAAATAAGGATCAACATGTATAGTTGTTATTGTTTAATAGGAAGAAAGGTCTTAAGGAGTAGTGGAAGTGGGAGGGGTAGGGGAATGATAAGAAGGGAAAAGAAAAAATATGAGAAAAGAAAAATAAATGGAAACAAAGTCTTTGTGAATAGGGAAGGGTGAAGGGGGTGAAGGGAGGGCAGGGGCATGGGAAAAATGTGATCCTGTGATCCAAGATACATCATGTAAAGTTACAAGAACCTGATGATGAATGTAACTGTACAGTATACCTATAATGTACCAATAAACTTAAAAAAAAGCAAATGAAAACAACACTGGGATCCCATCTCACTCCAGATAGAATGGCTACTATCAAGAAATCAACCAATAGCAAATGCTGGCTGGGTTTGAAAAAGGAACCCTACTCCACTGCTGGTGGGAATGTAAACTAGTGCAACCTCTGTGGAAATCAGAATGGAGATATCTCAAAAAACTAGGATTAGAGGTCCAATTTAAAGCTGCTATTCACCTGCTGGGTATCTTCCCAAAATAATTAAAAGAATCATTCCACAGCAATATATGCATACCTATATTTATAGCAGCACAGTTTGTGATAGCTAAAACTTGGAAACAGCTCAATTGCCCATCAACTGGAGACTGGATAAAGATTTTAATATATAAAAAACAGCCATAAAGAATGAGTAACGACAGAGAGTTATAGCTAAATGGATACACATCGAGGCCATGATCTTAAGTGAAATAAACAGGGCACACATGTGTAAATACTGAATAGTTTCTCTGGTGTGAAAAACAAAAAGTATAAATGAAGATTAAAATGTATAATAGATAATGTGAAATAGGAAGAAAAGTTCCAAAGGGGAAGAGGAAAGGGAAGTGAGAGAGATAAGGGAAAGGAAAGAAAGGAAAGGAAAAAATATGAGAAAAAGAAAAAAAACATAAACAAGTCTTTGTAAATAGGGCTGGGTGGAGGGAGGGCAGGGGAATGAGGAAAAAAGTAAGAACCAAGATACATCAAGTAAAGGTAGAAATTCTCAATGATGCATGTCATCATCTTGTATATGTAAAATGTACCAATAAACTTAATGAATTAAAAAAACAAAAAAGAAAATCCTAGGCCATAATGGATTCACTGCTGAATTCCACAAAAAATTCAGAGAAGTCCTAATGTTGCTACTTCTCGAACTCTTTAATGAAATTGAAAGGGAAGCAATAGGCCAATCTTCCTAATGAACATAGGTGCAAAAACTCCTCAATAAGATACTGACAACAGAGTGCAGCAAAACATCAAGGAGGTTACCATGATCAAGTAGGATCCATCCCAGGGATGCAGCAATGGTTTAACATATGCAAATCTATAAATGTAATACACCATATTAATGGAGCCAAGGACAAAACCCATATGATTATCTCAATATATGCAGAAAAAGCATTTGACACAGTTCAACACCCATTCATGATTAAAGAAAAAAAAAACTACAGAAAATTGGAAGAGATGGTCTTTATCTCAATAAGATAAAAGGCATCTATTATAAGCCAACTGCCAACATCATACTAAATGAACAAAAACTGAAAGCTTTAATTCTAAAATTGTAAAAAGACAAGGATGGGGCTGGGGATTTAGCCCAGTGGTTCTGCTGCCTGCTTCGCAAGCACAAGGACCCAAGTTCAATCTCCAGTACCAAAACAAAAAAGAAGACAAGACAAGAATGTACACTATCATCGTTTTGTTCAATATAGTTCTGGAAATAGTCACAGCAATTAGACAAAAGAAAGAAATAAAAGGAATAAGGATAGGAGAGGAAAAAATTAAATTATCATTATTTGCTGATGACATGGCACTCTACATAGAAAACCCAAAAAACTTGACAAAAGATGTCTAGATTTAATAACCAACTTCAGTAGTATAGGTGGATACAAAGTCAATACTCAAAAATCAATAGCATTCCTGTACACAAATAGCAGACTCACTGAGAGAGAAATTAGGGAAACAATCACCTTAAAAAACATCTAGGAATCAATCTAATGAAGGAAGTAAAAGACCTTAACATGGAACACTAAAGTATTCTGAGAAAGGAGATCAAAGATGTTATTAGAAAATGGAAAGATATCCTGTGTTCTTTGGTAGGAAGCACCAATATAGTAACAGTGGCCATATTTCCAAAACGGTTATACAGATTTAATGCAATTTTGTTCAAAGTGCCAATAGCATAGCATACCTCATAGAATTAGAGAAAACAATCCTAAAATTCATTTGGAGCCAGAAGAGACCTAGAATAACAAAAGCAATTCTGGGCAACAAAGGCAAGGCAGGGTGTATCACAGTCTCTGATTTGAAGTTATACTACAAATCTACTATGATTAAAACAAAAAAAAAGAACAGCATGATACTGGCAAAAAATAAAAAAGAGACCCAAGGATCAGTGGAACAGAATGATGTAGAAACAACTTCAAACACACTCGGGCAACTTATCTTTCAAAAAGGAACCAAACATCCTCACTAGAAGGAAGATAGCATCTTTAATAAATGGTTCTGGAAAACTGCCTTTCCACATGCCAGAAATTAAGATTCAACCTGTATCTTTCATCATTTACTAAACTAAAATTAAAATGGATCAGAGATCTAAATATGAAAACAGAAATACTACATGTGCTAGAAGATAAAATAGGTAGGACTCTCAAGTCATTGGTGTAAGCAAAGACTTTATGAGCAAAATCCAGAGTGCACAGGAAATATTATGAAGAATAAGCAACCGGGATCTCATCTCATTAAAAAGCTTTTGCATAACAAACGAAATCACCAACAGTGAGGGACAACCCACAGAGTGGGAAAAATTTTTTGCCTGCTATTCCTCAAAGGACTAATATCTAGAATATATAAAGAACTTGAAAAAACAAGGCCCCTTCTAAATTTAAAGACCCAGTTCAAAAATGGAAATCTGAAATGCATAGTTACTTCTCAAATGAAGAAGTAGAAACAGCAAATAAATATATGAAAAAGGTTCACTATCACTAATCACTTGAGAGATGCATAGTAAAACAACACTGAGATTCCATGTAACTATAGAAAGAAGGGCTGTTATCACAAAATCAACCAAAAACAAATTCTGGAGGGGATATAGGGGGAAAATAACCCTTCTCCGCGTTGGTGGGAGTGTAGACTGGGGCAACCACTGTGTAAATCAGTGTGGAGGTTCCTTAAAACAAACTTAAACTAGGGCTGAGGATTTAGCTCGGTGGCACCGTGCTTGTCTTGCAAGAGCAAGGTAGTGCGTTTGATCCCCAGTACCGCAACAAACAAACAAAAACAAAACCCCACTAAAACTAGAGGTCTCTTTTGACCCAGGTATTCCTCTTCTTGGTATCTTCCTGGAAGAATTAAAATCATCACACCACAAGAATATATGCACACCCATGTTTTTAACAGCACAGTTTGGAATAGCTAAATCTTGGAAACAGTCCAAATGCCCATCAACTGATGAATGAATAAAGAAGATGTAGATTTTTCACAAAATGGGGTACTACCTGCCATAAATAAGGGTAATCTTGAGACATTTTTAGCTAAATACTTGAGCCCATACTCTCAAGTGAAATAAATCAGATACACATGTGTAAATATCACATTGTTTCTCTGGTGGAAGAAACCAAAAATGGAAATAAGGTCCAAAATGTGTAACAGATATTTCAAAATGGGAAGAAAATCTACAAATGAGATGGTGAACAAGGGAGGGGAGAGAAGGAAGGAAAGAGGAGAAAAGATAAAGATAATACAAGGAAAATGGAAACAAAGCTTCTGTAAATAAGAAGGGGAAGAGGAGTTGAAAGGAAGGGAGGGAAATGCGAAAAAAAAGAAATAAGATATATCATGTATAGGTACAAATTCCCTATGACAAATGCTATCCTTATGTATATCTAAAATGTGCCTATAGACAGTATAAAAAAGTAGCATGTTATAAAATTCATTTTTGTGTTTGCTTTCAGCCTTCAAGGTATTGTTCAATGAAGGCATACTTACAGTTTCTCCTAGAGTTTCAGCACATAGAATTTTTTCTTTTTCTGCTCTCGAGATATGCCCTGTAAAACGAAACAAAACAAATAAGTCTACCTCATTTGGAGCTCTGTTGCCTACTTTCTACACAAAAGAAGAACTATGGAGACTAAATTGTATGACATCAGTGCACAGTAGCTCACCCTTCAATAGCAATGCCACTTTCCAATGACTCAGGTATCCACAGACCACAGTGGTCTGAAAATATTAAACAGAAAATTCTAGAAGTGAAAAGAAATTCTTAAGTTTTCAATTGTGTACCATTCTAAGTAGCATGCTGAAATCTTGTGCAGACTGACCCGTCTCACTTAGGACGGGGGTCATCCTTTTTCTGTCGCCTGTCCATTAGTCACTTGCAGCTGTCGGTGTTAGCACAACTCACTGTTGCAGGGTTCCAGCACTGGGTTCAAGTAAGGCTCATGCAGTAGTCTAATGTGCATTGCAACGCCTGTGTCACTCACCGCATTCATCTCAGTAGGCAGTGTGTCATCTCACCGTCACGGGCAGGATGCACTACTGTAAGGTATCTTGAGAATGAGAAAGAGCATACTTACATAACTTTTACTATAGTACAATGTTATAGTTGCTCTATTTTAATATTGGTCTCCTGCTAGGTATGATTTATAAATTAAATTTTATCATGTGTATGTATAGGAAAAAACACAACATATATAGTATTCAAAATTGTCCATGGTTTCAGTCATATTTTGGGGGACTTAGAACATATCTTCTATTGTTAAGGAAGATTATTATACTAATAGGAGGCAAAACTGATACCTGTTTTGCAAAAAATATTATGAACTAACTGTTCCCGGTAACCTTCAGAAGGTCTAAAAACATCTTACCTTGCACAGCATATTTAAGAGCTCTATAAATATTTGCTCAATGAATAATATGGTCAATCAATACATTAATTAATCCTCTAAGTAATTTCACGCTAAATATTTCTTAAAATGTAAATATTGACTCCATAGCAATTCTCTACCATTCAAAATGCTCTTCAGGACTACAGAGTGAAGGTTATCTAGTACAGGTCCTGAGAGGCATGTAGTACCTTGCAGTGTTATGAGGTACTGTAAGCATAAAAAAGCATAAAATAGTCCCTGCATTTTGAATTTTCTCAGGAATGTTTTATGATTTGGAATGAATGTTAAAATAATTCCATTTCAGAAAAATTGGGTTAAGCAGAATATGTTATTAAAATTAATTTTGATAGTTTCTTTTTGCTTTTAAAATTACTCTGTTACAATATGTTAAATTGCACGTGTGACCTATATTCTTTTCTATTGGGCAGTACTATTACAGCATAAACATTTCTAAGGGGAGTGTTGAAGAACAGTTTTAATGCAACTTTTTTGCAGTGCTGAAAATATCCTTACTCTGTTTTCTTCTCTAGGCTGTACTGCAGCTTCTCATTTTTCTTCTGATGATGCAATAATTATTTGACAGGAAAAAGATAATAAGGTCAGGCAGCAGGATGAAAGCAGTGCTATACATATAGATTGCACAGTATGGGATGGGTTAGAAGCTCAGGGACTAGAAGTGAAAGGATTATATTTAGATAGAGTGCTTGGAAGGTCATGAATATATGGGAGCAGGAAACAGAATATATGAACTGTCATGAGCCTCTGCATATGCATCTGGAATGGCAGAATTGCTGCTCACACAGATTCTGTGGCTAAGGCAGCGGAGTGTGGTATTTTCAAGGGAGACTTAACAATTTGGTATCTAAGAATTGTAGGGATCTTTTTCTCAAACAAGATGGGTCATCTGCACTTAAGGCACTTTTCAGAAACACCAATCTTAACCTACTGCAAAACCTCAATTAAGATAAATGATATTACTTGTATACAGCCAAAGTGCATTATAACCATCCATCTGATAATAGTCTGGTCAATAGCTGAATTACATTTGGTTCATATAATCCAGCACTTCATCAAAGTTAACCACAATTATGTACCATGATCTCAATTATTTTAATTAAGAGTTGATATAAGTAATACATGTGAAATGTGTTTATGAAACAGACATTGCACATTGGCTTAATCAAAATCTCTATGACTGAAATCCATATGAATAGTTTGTCATTGCTTCTATACTCTGTAAAATACTTATTCTCTCCTCCTAAATGAATATCTCTCCCTCTGCTCATTCCTGTCCCAGGGCCTTTGCATTAAGTGTGCCTTTTCTTTAAACACTATAAGTGGATCTTTATATGCTCCATGTTTTTAATTCAAGTCTCAGGTCAAATAACACTTAGGCAGAGAGGCCTTTTCTGACCAATTATTTGAAGAACCCTGTACCTTCAATCCCTGTCATATCATCTGGTTGTGTTCCTTGCTTTTGTCACTATGTGAAGTTATGATTCTTCATGTCCCCCCTCTTGAGAATGGAAGCTTCTGAAGAGGGGAGACATTGCTCATCTGACGTCAGCACTCAGGACAATGAAAGATTTGCACAAAAATTTATTAATCTATTAATTTGCTTATTCATCCATGCCTTCACTCAGGGTCCCTAAGAAATGAATCAGATGGAGAGTTCATTAACAAAGGCCTTTGGGACCAACATCTCTGTAAGGGGTGGATGTAGACCTGGCAGGATTTGACCTGCATGTAGTCACAAGGCAGCTCTGGAGTGGGATGGTCCATGATACCTTCTACAGTCATCATATGCAGACCGTCCCTGCAAACTCAGAGCTGCAAACTCAAGACACTCAGTCTCTTCAGCTGGGTTCATTCCTGGGTGGAGACTTAGCTGCTACAGTGAACTAATAGAACAAAAGTTCTTGGTTTCATGGAACATACCTGCTAATTAATGAAGGAATCAATCAATCTATCAGTATTTTGGGGTATTGTTTGTATCACAACTTTTCCTTTATCCTTATAGTACATCTTTCAAATTTTATATTTAGTCAAAGGACCTTGATCCTTAAGAAGCATAAAGAAGAAAACTCCCCAGATTTTTTCGGTGGAAGCCAACACCATATACTTGGCAGAGCAAAGCTCCTTGTTGGGAAAGTGCAGAGCCTCATTTCACTGCTTTTCTAGGGTAACTTGTCTGAGGTGTTGCATTAAATGATCAGGTGAGTTGTTTTGGGGTGCCTCCTATGTGCCAGTATGGATATCCATAGCAGCCTCTGCAATAACATAGTATGGGAATTCAGGAGCAGTGTGATTGCCTATAAGGGACTGGCAGGGGGAAGTAAGGTTACTTGGAAAAAGAAGCATCTGAGTTTCATCTTGAGTGATAGTTGGGAGTGACTAGTTATTGTGTTCTAAATAGGGACACAGTGACACAGGGCTCTGAAATTAATGTAACTTGAAGCCTTCCTGTAGTGAAGAGGGACTGGAACAAAGACAGCAAGCAAGGAAAGTAGCACTGGATGGTGCTGGATTGTGTGTGTGTGCTCAGACCGTAAAGCACCTGATAGACCTTCTTGTGGAGTAGGAAATTCACCCAAGCATATTCACATCAGGAACATGATATTTGCAATTGTGTTCCTACTACCTCTGAAGCCTTATAAATCAGTATCAATGTCATTACCCCAGGTCAAAGGGGAGACACACTACCCACACAGCTTTCAATCGATGTATCTACTTACCTATCTTAGGTAGAATGTGCACATTTTCCATCATGCTGGACTTAAAAGTTCATCTCTTTCATTTTTGCAATATGTTAAACTTTTCTCCTTATCTGAGAACTTTTTAAAATACATATGCCATGAAACACTAGTTCTGAAAAATGCTATGGGAAAAATGTCTACTTCTTGGAGTTTCAATCTCGTAGGAAAAAAAAATGCATTTTAACTGTTTGTATTACTGTTTCTGAAACATATTTTAGTCCAGGACTTGTCCAGTGACTGGTTGCTCTGTGGTTCATTTTGCAAGTCACCTGTTCACACCCCTAGACCCTCACAGCCTGTTGGGAGTTACTCTCCTGGCATTTGCTTCTCTCTCATGGTCTTCTCTTGGTCGATTTTGCCAGCTTGGTACTTGCAATCTCATCTTCCCTCCTGAGTTTCTGTCACTGCTAGAGTTACTCTGTGTTGTTACAGGGCTCTGTAATCCCTAAGATAGAGTTCACTTTCCTTATTCAAGGTACTCTCTGTTGCCTGTCTCATTAAATCTGACCACCATCTGACATTCCAAGATGTTTGTCAAAGTCGCCTGCCTTCACTTTTTTTTATCCTGTCTGTCTGTTCGCAACACATAACTGGCTCATTTCTTCCTTTGAAATAATGTGTCTCGCTCTTCCCTGACAATTCATGTCTTACCTCCCTTAACATTCAAAACCATGGGGACAGTGAGAAGAGAGGTAAGTGTGAAATAGGAAGAAAATAGCTAAAGGGGAAGTGGGAAGGAGAGGGAAAGGAAATAAGGGAAAAGAAAAAATGTGAAAAAAAGGAAAAAATGGAACCAAAGTCTTTGCAAAATAGGGAAGGGTAGAGGGGGTGAAGGGAGGGCAGGGGTATGGAGAAAAAATAAGAACCAAGACCTATCATGTAAAGGTACAAGGTCCCAATGATAGTGTAACTGCATTGTTTGCTTTAAATGTACCAATAAACTTAATGAGAAAAAAGTAAAAAAAAAAAAAAAAGGGCGGGTGAAAAGAATTAAGATGTGTTATGTACATTGACTCCCAAAATAAATGTAATCATTATGTACTCCAAACATGTACTAATGAAAAATACAAAATTTCCAGTTTAAGAACTTATATTCTTTAGAGTCTTTTTGTATATTATCACAACCATATTTTATTTCTTTACCACATGAACACATAATACTGGGCAAAGAGGGAATATTGAAACCTATGCTTGAATGGAAATAGTGTCAGGTACAAAGTGGGTGCTATTTTTAAGCATTTGTTTTATAAGTGATTAATATTAAACAGTAGAGGTTACAGCAACAATGCTAAATGAATAAATGCATTCCTTGCTGGCAATAAACATAATTCATGGTATTCTAAAGTTCACAGAAGGAAAAAATACTATGTAGCACAATTATCTCATTTTCAAGAGGCGTTAACTGGTGACATTAAATAAATTTACGAAGATCTTAGTGGCCAAACAGAAATAAGAGCTTAGCCCAATAATTCTTAGCCCAATGCACTCTTCCCCACCCCCACGCCAGTCTCTCAACGACTAGATGAATATGTGGACACATGATCCCCTAAGTCATTACATGGAAGTACTAGATGATAAGACTTTGAGTTATTCACAAAAAGGAAGAGAGCACATTAGGTTGTGGTGTTCAGAGAGAGAAAGAGCAAGATGTTACAGAAAGCTGTACTGAAGAATTGGTAAGGTTTAGACAGGTGGAACTTCAGGATGATGACAGCACAGCATTTAGTTTGGAAGCAAACATTAGGAAATGAGAGAGCACACGTATGTTTGGGAGGTAATTCTTTGGATGGCTGGAGGTAAGACATAAGACTAACACAGGCCCATCCTATCTGTGCACCTCAGGCACTTCCTACTATTACAAAGTAACAGATCCTTTCATTTCTCCCACCAGAAGCCTCAAAAGAG